AATGGATGACTACACTGCCTCCTGAAAGAAAAGTAAGGTCTTGTTTCTTCCACTCAATTTTGATGAATGTCCTTTTGCTGCTTTTCCTTAAGATTTTGACAGATCAAACTTGGTTCTATTTTTAAATGTTCAGGCCAAGATGCATAATTGCTTATCTAATTGTTCTACTACTCCAGCTGGCTCAATCGATGCATTTGGCATATTACAGATAGTATTAAATATAGGTTATTGGAAACCCAACAAGGAATGATCATAATAATATTTTTCAAGCTATGAAAGAGATCAAAGTACGAGATAAAGGGTTTATATACACTCATATTAAAAAGAAGAGAATTTTAAACTGGGATAGTGGAATGTAGCTGGCAGGCCAAGATAAGTTACTATCTAAACGTTGGGGATTTATTGATAGTATATATGCACACACACAACTGACACAAGTAGCTAACCATACCCGCCACTAGGTTGGGATTGAGGTGTAGTTGGTTGATCCAATATTGGTTGGCTATTCCAATATAATTTCTAACTGGCAGTCTAAGCTTGAAGTCAATCCTGATGTCTCTGGCTTCTCGCTACATACCTGTTCTTAATTCTTGTCCCTCCCTATTGCTCCCTAGCTCTTCCATAAATTTTGGCCTATCTTGGACATATTAGTTTATCAGGCATTGCAGGTCAACCATAATTTCAAATTCCTTCTGACTTACTGATTCCTGTCATCATCACCTATTTAGACTCCTAAATGCCCTGTATTATTATTCAGCACCATATCCGAGTCTAAAGCCGAACCAATTAGTGATGTAAAATTTGAACTGCCATTGTCATGTTCAGTTTCTTCACGAGACCAAGGTTTTGTGCTGGTTGTCAAAGTCAGCAAGAATTTTATCTTTTACTTCAAAGCTCCCTCCGAACATTCACATACAATTCAAGCATTGTTATATTTGTGCCTAAATTTCTTTAGCCATCTCTTCTTTCCATACGCTTCACTCGTCTGCCATTGTCATGTTCAGCTTCTTCACGAGACCAAGGTTTTGTGCTGGTTGTCAAAGTCAGCAAGAATTTTATCTTTTACTTCAAAGCTCCCTCCGAACATTCACATACAATTCAAGCATTGGTATATTTGTGCCTAAATTTCTTTAGCCATCTCTTCTTTCCATACGCTTCACTCGTCTGTCCCCCCCCTTGTTAGGTAACCTGGAAACATTTTGGACCCATCATTAGCATGCTTCTCACCCTAAAGGGTTCAGTGACCATGAAATATTACAAAACCATATCTTAATTGTTGAAAAGGAATTGATATTGAACAATAATCTAATAGAAGAAAAAACAAAGTGAATGGGAAGCTATGGCTCTGGGGAGTTCATTGAATGGCAGCATCTGGGGAGTTCATTGAATGGCAGCACCAGATTCTTTCCCGTACGAATCCAGTATTTTATTCCCTACCTTGAAGTAACAAGAAACAGTAATTCTAAGAAAATAACAACATATGTTATCATACATGTATAAATTCTTGAATACATAATGTGGGGGTCCAAAAGAAAGACAACATGAAATCCTTGACTAATTTCTGAATGAGAAACTGCTCAAGTGTTTTTCCTTTCTTTTACTTCGTGAAACTCTGCATGATGTATTCCATGACTGCTTAGGCTGGCGTTGTGAGCATGCACTCAAAGACGAGCTTTAGCAAAAGCTCGAAAGAAGGCCGTGGTGATACTAGTGCCTGGACAGACACCCCATCAGATCGAGCTCAGAAAGCCAAAATGAAGTATGTTCATTCTCTGTTATTTAGATCTTTTGGTTATGATATTAGATATCTCGGTTCTCAATTATTTTGTATTTTCAGTTATCTGGAGGCTTTCAATGAGGCTTCAGCACTTGCTTCTAAAGAGCTGCAAGAAAAGAGTAGATTAAGTGTCGATGCTGAACTGGTGGAACAGTATAATAAATCGAGACGATCAAAATCTATGGTAGAAAAGCATCAAGAGACAGCTCGTACCAAGTCAAAGAAAAAATCAAAGCAGGAATCAACGAAAGAAGAATGGCAAGGAAATCATCCATGGAAACCTTGGGATCGTGAGAAGGATTTGACAGCGGGAAGGCAAAATGTTAAGCTTGATGCTACGGACATGTCTCAGGGTCTCACTTCCAGGTTTTCTTCTGGATCCTTTCAAAGGAATTTCCTTTAGAAGAGTTGTGGTCATCTTCGATGTTTGAATTTGTATTGGCCCTCAACATATATATATTAAGATATCCTGAACATGATCCATCAATTTATCTTGTAGAGATGTATGTGTAATCATCGAGCTGCAGAATAAAATTGTTTTGAGTTTTTCTTATTTCTCTTTAAAGCATAAGATGAGAGAATATTGAATCTTATCTTTACACATACCAGTTCAGTAAAGCCTCATACACCTCATCCCTTCACACAATCAAAATCTGTTGAATGAAATTGATTTTTTTTTTCTTTTAGTGAGATGCAACTTAGATTAAAAACAAGAATTAGTGTAGTTCAGTACACAAATGAAGTGATCGTAATAACTCAGTCCACAGTAACGTTGACGTAAAGCAAAAATAAATCATGATTTGGTGGGGGGAGTTTATGAAAAAAAAAATATTTTCCTTTGGTTGGAATTTTGATAGAATTTTCGTTACAGCCATGAGAATAGGATTCTAAGGCCCGTTTGGCCATGCGATATGGAATCATGTTATGATATCATAATATGAAATCATGAGATGGAATTAAAGTTTTGTTTGGACATGCAATATAGAATTTTTGTGTTGTATATTTTCTCATAAACATAAGAACCTCATAAGTTGTAAAACTATTAAAATAGCTCCAATTGTTTAAAATTTATAAAATTGCATAATAAATTATTACAAAAATTATTTGTTCTCCACATAAGTAATTGTTTCATCTAACTTTAATTCAATTAAAAAAGTACTCAAATGCTTACTTTGGAAATAAATTTTGCTTATTTACCAAAAAGATAAAAAATAAAAAATATTCAATAAAAAAAATTGAACATAAATTGTAGTGTACTAGTGTTTAATATAATTCTCCCACATAGTACGAACAATCTCTTCATGTTGAACTTGCATTTCTCGATCATATGGCCGAGAAGACGAACCAACATTGTTACTTTGAGTCATTTGTTGATCAATATCATTCGCAACTAAATTTTCATGCTCATAAACTATAAATAGTCATCACTCCTTTGATATTCTCGCAAATAATTATGTAACAATGTACAAGCTATGACAACACTTCTGTGTCAATATCATAATGATTCATGCCTTGTTTCACTTGTGTGATATTACACATTTTCAGTGCATTAATTTCGTACGAAAATCAAACATATTGAAAGTAGTGATTATCAAACATACATGATCAATTTTGTCTTTTTTCATATTAAATTGCTTTAAACATTTTCATATGTAGCCAAAAGAGAATTTTTTTTTATTATGAAAACCAGAAAAGTATTACTCCCTCCGTTCTTATTTTTATTCACCAAATCAATTCCTACTTTATCATTTATATTCACTAAATTTAAAGTAATAATAAATTTTATATATGTTGGTGAGAATCAGGGCCGGCTCTATGCTTTGGGAAATAAGGCTTTTGCCTTAGGCCCCCAAATTTTATCAAGAATAATTTATGTGTTAAAATTTCTATTAAATAAAATTGATTATTTATGATAAAAAGTATAATTTTTTAAAATATATATCATTTTACCACTTTAACATCTTTTGTACTTTGTTAAAAATAAGAACTAATAGTGAAAAGTGTTGAATAAAGTGAGTTACAAATTCTTTTTTATTTCTTTTTAAATTTTAGTTTCAAGCATTACTACAAGCATATTAAAATGGGGTATATCAAGCCATCAACTTCTTGCATCAAATTCTATGGTTTTAACTCTTATCTTTATTTAATATTTGTCAACTTATTACTTATAGAATTATGTTAGCAATTCATATAATAATTGCCTCACTGAAAGGATGTTTTTTCAATGTTGAGTTGATAAAAATCTTACCTAAAACTAATAACTGAAAATACAATATTAAAATACTAATTATTTTTATCTAAATAGTGTAAGAAAAATAAATTTTGAATAAATACGTATATGAAGTTTCTTTATATTTTAGGACTCGAATTGAAATTTCGCTTCAGGCCCCCAATCACTTGAGCCGCCCTGGTGAGAATAATAATTTTTTAAAAATAATGATGTGATTATAAATTTTTTACATATGAAATAAATGGTTAGTAAATATAAATGTGGGTTGTTTTAACATAATATAAACTTGTGGGTCAATTTTATATTTAAAAAATCTCAAATCATGATATGGAATTCCCAAATCATGATTTTCGGAGAATATGAGATTCCATGACATGATATGAAATCATGAGATGGAATCAGCATGAAATCGCATGTTCCATCTCACGATTCAATATGGTATCACATGTCAAAACGCCTACTAAGTTTCCCTTTGGTTGGAATCGAATAATTTATTTTTGGTTAAAAACACCTAAAATAAACGAATCCAAACAGGCAACACAACGTTGAAAATAGGGAAAGTGAATCTAATCACTTTGACACGTACGTGGCTTCCCTACGTTGATATTGAACGATGCAGATGAGATATAACGCAATACATAACAATTGGCTACATATAACTGTTATACAATATTTCCTACATATATACACAAATACACAGCTCATATTATTTTTCATCCATGTATTATTTGTACGTACATATTTTTTTATATCAAGTTTTAGGATTGTTAATAGAAAATTAGCACTTGTAGCCTGTAGTAGGTAATTGGTTGTTATATTTTCTTTGTAATCTGTATAAATACATCTCAACTTAATTTAGCAAAAGATAAACATCCAAATCATAATAATGGAAGAAATAAAAAGTTTAATATAAAATTGCAAGGACAAAAAATTAAGCTTGTCTGAGAAGTAGATAAAAAAAAATTAAACATCAGTTCATTCACAGTTACAAAAATATCTTAAAACAGTCAATAGGTAGTTAAACAATAAAAAATTCTAAAAGGCAACTTTTTTAACGTGCCTTGCACTCTTCAACATTTCCAATTCTATATATGTGTTCCACCTTTTCCTTGGAATTTCACAAATTTCTTCTTTTGTTTCAATTAAAAAAGATACAAAAAAAAACTATTACTGATCATAGAAGATTAATTTTCATCTATAAATCAGGATAACATTGAAGCAATTGACTCATATGATTTTGATCATCGTCGACTAATGGAAAATTAGGGTAAGAATAAGAAGAAGAAGATGGTGCCTCCATATTCATAATGACTTGTGGTGCAAATAACTTGTCATCAATATTCCACTCATCACAAAATTGATCTTCATTGTTGTTGTTGTTCATGGAATTTTGGCCTTGATGATCATTTGTAGCCAAACTTGTTGAAATGGTAGGGCTATCAAGTTGTGGGAGTTCATGAATTACTAGTTGATTATTGTCATAGACAATATTATTTTGGCTTGAGACTTGATGATTAAAAGGGAATTGATGATTGAAATTTGATGTTTGGTTGAGAGGATTAATATTAATATTATAACTTGGGATTTGTGAAAGGGAGGGAGGTGGTCTAGTTGAATAACTTGTGTTGGTTCCTCTCATATAATAATTGTAAGCAATATTGTTGTTTGATGGACTTGGCTTCTTGAATGCCCTACATACTACCCATCCTTCTTCCTGTCAATTAACAACAAATTCCAAACTTGTTATTAATAATTTAGTAATAATCTTATTCAGCTTAATTAGAGTTGTCAATTAACTTTCAAACTAAATCTTGATCACTATAACAAAAGAGACATTCAATGACGATAATTTTTTCTTTTAGCTACTAATCCATTTATCCTTTGTTTCATTTTGTGTAACATTCATCTATAATACCAATAAGAATAATGTTATTCTACATATATGCAAAAATAATTTATCTCATTTTACTTAGTAACACAATTTTATAGGTATAAAAATGTAATGTCATGTTTAAGTTTTAACACCAAAAGTAAGTTTTTTTTTTTTTTGGGAACTACATAGTCAAACACCTCCTTTATTTTCCACTGGAAACGAAGTACATAAAGAACAAATAAACAAGGTTTGTCTTTTCAATATGTTCTCCAAAACTTTTTCCCAACATCAAAAGTAACCTAAAAGGAACAAGAAAAACTTATTGCTTTTAGTACTTTGCTATGCCAATTAATAAATTTTTTGATAAAAGTCCAACAGTCAAAAAGAAACAAACTTAATCAAATAAAAGACACAAAGCATTTCATGCGCGACACAATATTAATTAGTACTTCTAACTTGGGACGGTGTTCGACTAAACACAAAATTTTAAAATAAAAGCAAGGTTTTTTGAAATTTATGATTTAAAATAAATCATAAATATTTATGTGGCTATAAAGCATCTCATTTAAGAATAAAACAGAATATTAAAGTGTCATATTAATAAGGACGGAATGAAGTATATATGTTCTACCTAGAATATACTCCTTCTATTCCAATTTAGATAATTGACTTTCTTTTTTAATCCGTCCCAAAAAAATGACACATTACTATATTCAGTAATTGTTTAAATTTTAAATGTTCGATTTATTCTTAATAAAATACTTTAATAGCCACACAAACATCTTTGACTTATTTTAGATGACAAATTTCAAAAGTTGTTCTTTCTTTTTGAAATTTCATGTCAATTCAAACTACATCACATAAGTTGAAACAGAAAGAGCAGTAAAACACTATGTTTTGATATATTTATCAAGTTGTGAAGCAGATGGAAAGATTAGGTAACCTGAGGAGGTCCATGTTGAGAAGTTTGTAGACGATATTCATGCATGATCCAATCACTTTTCCTTCCATTAGGAGCTCTTCCTCTATAGAAAACAAGTGTTTTTCTCATCCCTATAATCTTCTCCTTTGATAACACTGCTTTATCTCTTCCTGTTGCCTTCCAGAATCCGGCCCCTGTCGCGCGATTCGTTCGAGTTCCAGTAGGATATTTCCTGTCCTTGTGACTGAAAAAATACCATTCACTTTGTTCTTCATATCCCAGTTTACACCTATCTGTACATGCATGTTACAAACTTCATGTCAATGTTCAAACTTCGTTTCAATTTGTTTGTCTTGTTTTGATCTGACATGGAGTTTAAGAAAGTAAAAAAGATTTTTGAAACCAAAGATAGGTTGAACATACCAAAATACTCTTTAATCATGTGATCTTAAATATGTCAAGTAGAAAATCAGAATTAAAGAGTCACCAAAAAAGAAATGATACACTTTTTTAAAAATAAAGTGAAAAAGAAAGTAATACAAACAAATTGAAACAGACGGAGTATAATATTAATAAGTAGAAATTACAAGAAAATTAAAGAGATGAAAGAATGAATGTACCTTGGATATCCCATGGCTCCATTCTATAAAGATCAATTTCAGTGATGACATCAAGATCAATCTTGAGTGAGTTTATCTTTCTCTTGAGGTAGTATCCAACAAGTTCTTCCTCTGTTGGATGAAATCTAAATCCTGGAGGAACACATGACTCCATTTCCATCTTGATCAATCTAACAAATTATATTTTTTGAGAACAAAAAAAATGTTATATATACTATTGGAAGATATTTTTTGCACCTTTTGTTAAGTAAATATGAAAAGGAAACTTTTTTATATATATAAGAGTGTGAATATTACACTTCTCTTATCTTGCAAGAATTGTAATGATTCTACTCATTAATTGACATCCATTCGTGAGCAAATTAAAAGTAATCATTACCTCATTCTTTTTTGGTTTATTCTTTGGGGTGGTGGGGTCAAGGTCCTCCAATTTAAAAATATTTTTTTCAAGATTTATTTTCCTCCTTTTTATTTTTTTGATTTTGGGAAATTTGGAAAATGGCAAACCATAATTAGTTGGTTCCTACCAAACAAGAAAATATGAAAAATGATAATGAGTAAGCCTGCAATGGCCTTAATTAGTTGCATGCAATTCATGCTAGTAACATTTAGGCAATTTCTATGATGAAAAGGAAAATAAAAAGTAGACGAAAACATTGACTTTGTTTTTGTTTGTTAAAAAAAAAGGAAAAATCCTTTTGGCTTCAAAATTTGGCCAGAATGATTTTTACCTATGTTATTTTATTTTTTAAAAATATTTTTACCCTTTTAATTTTAATATCTTTTAACTAAAAAATGTAAAAAAGATCAGTTTATTTTAAAATAAAAAAAATATTATACAATTTTTAAATTTTCTAGTCATTTGGCATTACCCAAAAAACATATACTAAAAGAAGTATATATATATATATATTATAAGTTGAAATGATTTCTTTGAGTGCATTCCACTCAATAACACATGATCCCTTAAGAAAAACCCTTTTCACACACTACCATATAGACATTTTTCACTTCATGACCAATGAATTATGACATTCAAGAAAATGATAGAATTGCCTTTTTTTTCTCTTTATATTTTCTTAACCAATCAAGTGCTAAAGGGGGTCCATAATCTTACATTGTAATTAATACTCTACAAAAAAAAACTAAGAGTTACACATAGAGGAAAGAAAAGTAATTAAACATGCAAACATTAACAATTGAAAGAATTGGCAATGATCTTCTAGTTACAACTTAAGAATGTAGAAAATAACTAGTAAACCTTAAGATCAAAATGTACAAATTGTAAATGAATTCATTTGCATGGAAACACCACAAAACTTAAGTACCACAGAAAAATAAGCAAAGATAGAGAGACCCTTTACCCTTTTTCAAGCTCGGAGCAAGAGACGAGCGAGAGAGAGAGAGAGATTGAAAGGAGGAGTTGTTGATGAAGAGAAGAGAGAAAGAGAGACTTAAGAATGAGAGAAACCAAAATGGATAAATGAGGTGTTAGTTGAAATGTTGTTGGTGAGGAAATAAATATTTACTTATATATAGAAAAAGACTTGTTTAGCTAGTCAGTAAAAGAGGGAGTAGTGTGTGTGATAAGCAGGTACACTACAGAAAAAGAATTACTTAAATATTCAGTGAATATGACACAATGCGTTTACAAGTTTTTTTTTATTATATAAAGTTATTTATAAAATTTAATGTTTGCATCTTTATATATATATATTTTTTATATAGTATAGATAAAAGAAGAAAAATGCAATCTAAGGGTTAATTGATGATTACGCGTGGGGTTGGCATATTGTTTGGACGGCGTGACAACGAATTTACACGCAGCCGTTATATTATGCTCTAAGATTTTCTCACTCCAACCCTTTATATTTCCCAACCAACTTGTTAATTGATCTTCTCCAATAAAGTAACTTTTGTACCCTGATACCATAAATACGGGTCTTTTTTGGGATATTTTAAAAATTAAATTTATATTTTTTAATTGTTTTTTTTGTGTGATAAATTTATATGTTTAACTGTGACATGACTAGGCCAATGGTGAAAAAAAATGAGCCTGAAAAATTTCCGGGTAGTGACTTAAAATTTTTAGGCTAGGCCAGTCTTAGACGGAATCTGGATGAGGTGAGGTCTAGAGCCATCTGGAAAAGGGTGAGGTGATATGTCTATCCTTGGTTTATATTTTCTAGTAACCAAGATATTAAGAAACATGTAGGGCTTTACAGAAGTGAATTCGGGTGAGTAGAACTTCTAAAATCAAACTTGGCGTGAAGGGAATAGTTTAAGATGTCAAGGGAAGAAGGTATGTTGTGAAAAAACGGTTTTTCAGGAGTTTCCGAGTCTCTAAAGTTTGTACAATCTGCTATAGCAGGCGGTAGGCCACTGTAGCGGACATGTGCAGGCGATAACTAGGTCGTTATAGCGGGTCGGACCACTATAGCGAAATAAGTTGGGATTTTATGCAGAAAATATCTCAAAACCTCTCATTTTCTGCATCATTGTCCTTGAGATTGAGAGGGTACCACGACATTCAAATTCTAAGGGGTTTTATTTCCGCAATTTTTTTGGTTAAATGGTTAAGTTTACGAGAACTCAATCTTTTATCAATTGAAATTGCAATTTAGTTGCTTTTTTTTTCTCCATAAATTGATTTCCATAATTAGTCTTAATGGTAAAGTTTGGGTTGGAAGTCAGTTCAACCACCGAAGGGTTAATGTGTGTGCCACTCTCAACTGTCTGGATAGTGACAAAGTTGGTATCAAAGCCCTAGGTTCATTAATCTTGTCGTACCAAAACAAGTCTAGTAGAGCAGAGACGTATGTACTTCTCTACAAGAAGCTACAAGACTTTAGGAAAATTCTTTCTTCTTTCTTTCTTTGTCCTATAACTTGATTCAAATTGGTATCTGGCTTCTTCCATTCTTCTGTCTGTAGATGGTTGATACTAGATGCAACGGTACAAGGACAGTAACTCCAGCAGCAGAGCCAACAACGAGAGGAAAATGAAGAGGTAGATGTAGAGGCAGAGATAAGGTTAGGGTCAAAGGAATGGCAACACTCGCCAGAGGTGGAACTCAGGTAGAGAATGTACCACGGAAAGGGACCCCACCCCAACCAAGGATCATGTGGAAGAAGAGGTTGATAGAGATTGAGGAGGATGTTAAGCGGATGTGAGAACACAGATTTGGGTTGCAGGTTTCAAGGTATTGCGCCACTCCCACTGTGTAGGTGCTACTCAAGTTCTAATCACTCGTCTTATTACTACTACGGTCCCTAAGATGGTTAGAGACTCAGGAACTGCTGCGTTCTTCTGTCCATTACTTCACCCTGTGATGATTGGCATTGAACATGAGATTTTGACCAACTTTTGAAGTTAAACCTTCCAGTGTTCCATGGTTTCGAGAGTAAGGATGCCTTTGAATTCATTTTGTGGAATGTCGATCATCAACCTTGCCTTGACTAACTTGTACATAGTTACATGCATATTCTTGGAGAAATATGTGCGTCGTACTTTGAGAGATCGAAAGAAGGATGAGTTCATGACTCTTGAGCAAGGAAGCATAACTGTGGCTACTTATGAGACTAATTCCCATGCTTTGTCCAGTTATACTGCATAGGAAGAGAGGATTCACTTGTTCGTCAAAGGTTTGAATTTTGAATTGCAACTTTTATCTATGCATATGACCTCTGCAAGTAAGAGCTTCACTGAGGTAACTAATTTTGTGAAGAAAGTAGAGGGAGTTCAACAGGTTTGGCAAGCCAAGGCATTGGCTAAAAGGTCTAGAAATGTGGGCAACTACAGTGATTTGTATTTTAAGGGTTTTGGTTCGCAGATGTATTTAGCTTGTCCAATTCAGTCGGTTATGCCAACTTCGATGAGTGGTCATTCAGGGGTTCCACAATAGTCTCTAGCTCAAGGTGGATAAAGAGCTTCTTGTGCATCCGCCATCAGGCTCTCTCTTGACTATAACTATTTTAATTATGTTGAGCCGAGACACTTCAAGAGGGAATACCCTCACAAGCAGACTGTTGGCCAAGTTCAGCAGCATAATATAATAATGGTTTCATTGGGTGGAGGTAATTATGATATAAAACGTCCATAGAGTGGACAAAAAGGTAGTCATGGAGGCCATGAAGGCTAAGGAAATGGTATGCAAGGACATGAGTGGCACACCCTGGAAGGGGATTTTCCCGTAATGATGACAGAGCTCAGTGTTATGTTTTATTGGGAAAATCAGAGGCTGAGACAACAGACACTGTGATAACATGTACTATTCTTGTCTGTGATCGGATGGCTACAATGTTGTTTGATCCAAGTTTAACTTATTATTATGCATATGTTAATTTCTCTTTGGGCTTGATTTTATTTGTAATACCCTTGATGCTCCTATGTATGTTGCTACTCCAGTGGTCTATAGTAGTAACCCATGTGTATTGCAATTGTTCTATGATGTTTATAGGTCTGCAGACTTGGGTATGTTTAGTCATATTGGATATGCTAGACTTTTATGTGATTTTGGATATGACTTGGTTGTCTCCTTATTTTGCTATGCTAAACGGTAATGCTAAGATAGTGACTCTAGAGATTTCGAGTAGAAAAAGATTTGAGTGGAAAGGGCGAACAAGCCTAAGCTATTAAAGATCATATCCTTCCTTCGGGTTAAAAAATTAGCAGTGCAGGGTTGTTTGTCCTACTTGGCCCATTTTCAAAATGTTAGTGTAGAGTCCCTTTCCATTAAATCTATTTGGTATGCCTCTGGATAGGGACATAGACTTTTGTATTGATTTGGAGTCAGGCATTATCCCAATTTCTATTCCTCCATATTGTATGACTTTGACAAAGTTGAGAGAACACAAGACTCATCTTCGGAAACTGCTTGATAAAGGATACATTCGTCCTAGTGCTTCTCCTTGGGGTGCTCCTATTTTGATTGTAAATAAGGATGCTAGCATGATAATATGCATAGATTACCGATAATTGAATAAGATCACCATCAATAATAAGTAGCCCTTACCTCGAATAGATGATTTGTTTTACTAGTTGCAGGGTGTTTTTGTCTTCTCTAAGATTTACTTGAGATCGGGGTATCATCATCAAAAGATTAGGCCTGAGGACATACCTAATATAGCTTTTAAGATATGATATGGGCATTATGAGTTTTTTGTAATGTCCTTCGGGTTAACTAATGCGCTTGCAACATTTAGGAGCTTGATATTGGGGTATTC